GATTTGATGTTCTTCAACAGGGATGCGTGAGGGGCATAGTCGGAGGTTTTCTGGATATCCAGATGGGCTGTAACAATAGTGTCCAGCATCATAGACTGCGGTGATGATCTCAAGGAAGTGAGCCCGTTGACGGGTTTCTTAAATGAGAAAAAATGTGTACTCTGAGCTTGAAAATCCTCTTACCATGTACCAGCCATGTGGTTGCTGGGTCAACGGTAAATAGAATGTTTGCTAAGCCCTGTTCAACCAGGGCATATGTAAGAATTAGTTCCCCTCGGAGGCGACTACACTCCATCAGAAAGAGGTCAAGCGACGCGAGACGCGTTCCATAGTCCTCGGATTTTTAGGCCGGCAACCATTTTCGCTGCACATCGTTGGACGCGGTGGGTGAGGGTTAACTCTTTCGTGAATCCTGGGTGGATGAATTGGTTGGCATATTCAGGAACCGTTCTGAAGTAGGCCTTATAGGGTATTTGGAAGTCCATGCGAGTAATACGGGAGAAAGCGCACCGAATTATCTGTAGAACGGCGAATGTCTTGTCGGCGGATTTCTCATGGTGCAGTGAGAAGAACATGTTTAAAGATAGCCAGACACCCAAATCCTTTTCTCCATCTATCCTTGTGATGTCATTTGCTCTTCTCTCACCATGCATGACAAAGATATTTGTTGAGTCTCCTCCGAACGACATATAGCACACTTCGTCATGCAGAGTGAGGGCACCGGCAGTGGAACCCGAGGATTTCAATCACCCGCAAAAAGTGGAAATGGACTTGTGAGAACATCTGGAAGTTCGTAGTCCTAAAGAAAAAATAGCGGTGGTCTCCAATGGAGATCAGTGCCGGAGAAGGGAAGGTCGAACCTACTTTCACACAGAATATACCGTCTGATAGAAGCGCCTTAGTCCAGTGTAGAACTTTCCTTGAAATCCCGTAAGACTTGGGTTTCTGGGGCAGCGGGGCGCGTGGGACTAAACCGAATGCTTTTCAGAGGTCGAAAAATGTGGCATCCGATGCGGGACACTTGTCCTCGGCTTGGGTTTACCTGTCCATAAATACGGGCATGTAAGTCGTGCAAGAACAAGCTGATTTGGAGACATCAATTTGGAAGTAATGTGATATAGGATGGATCGATTCAGAATGCGTTTCGTCACCTAGCACGGTTTTCTTTCTAGGCCTGTAGCTAACAGGCCATAGTCTGTCACCGGTTTTGTGGATTGGCATGACAATCGCTCTTTTCCAAGCAGAGAGAATGCAGCATTTGTCAAGCGACTAACGAAACACCAGGTAGAAAGGATTTGCCAATGTAAACGACCCTTCAGGATCCGTGGATGAACCTCTTCGGACCACATTGCGCAGAACGCGCCAAGCTTGTGCAGGAGTTGACGAATGTCCACCACCGTAAAGACTAAGTCGGTTAGAGGCCGTTCATAGTTACGCTTTGACAAGACTAGACGTGACGGGGACGCTAGGGCTGAATAATGACCGGCAGAGTGTTCTCTGTAAACTTCCGATACTACTGTTGTGCCTTGGCTGTCGGGGTCCTGGGAGACGAGTGTGTCCACTAGCAAAGAGGTCACTTTTGACTGAATGAAGATGGAGATTGGCGTGTACGGTTCCCGCAGCATTCCCCGACGTTGAGGTCAACGCACCTGGTTGACTCTGCGATAGGCTTCGCCGCCTGTCCCCACATATCTGATGTTACGGCTATCTGCTTTCTGAGTTTGAGTCACGCGTGTCAATCCAGAAAAACTACCAAGAAATCCGAATTCTGGAATCACGGTACTATTGCAAATATAATAATATACATATTCGACAAACCCCAACGGATTCTCCTCTGCAGATACCGTAATGTTACAAAATAAGGCGGTACAATTTCCAGCCTGAAGA